TGTCCAAACCATTTTGCCATTAAGGGAGGAAAGCCAAGACTTCCATTTTGGAAAAGTGACTTTAATCACAAAGTCCACTCTCGTTGAGCCTTGCACTTGTTTCTTCTGAACATACACAATGTCAAATCCAAAAGAAACATATCTAAAGCCTTCAGTCATTTCAGACCATGCTTGTACTATGCATTGGAACAATGTATTTCAAGCTTACTTCAAAACCAAGTTTAATAGTCATAACATGTGATCTTTCAATTTTGGTTACTTGAGCCTTCAAAACCTTTTCTCTATAAATAGAGAGGTTGTTTGCAAGCCATAGCACGAGTTTACAAGCCTCTTAACCCCCTCAAACACTCTGAAATCAAGATTGGCATTCAAAACCTCCATTGTTGCACATTCTGACCTTGAACTTCAAACTCTTAATCCCCTTGTGTGTTTTCACTCTAAATCCATCACAAAGCTTCCACACCTCATTTAGAACCTATCCAAGGTCTTGTTCCATCACTGTAACACCATTTGCACCATCCTCCATTTCCAAAAATAGCCACCTGCAACTTGACTTCTCCAGAAGAATCCAGCCACTCTCAATCCAAAGTAAGCATTACAATAGCTTCCTAGGTGTTCAGTGAAGCTATCCAGATCATCACAACACCTCCAGGAGTGCTCAAACTTCAAACACGATTTCCAGTTTTGAGGTAAGTTTTCTCAACTTTGAACTTCTTATACAAGCATCATTAATGGTTGCTTTGTGAATGAAAAATGTCGATATCATTTCCCTGGAGCTAACCATGCCTTTAGTTTTCATTTATGTTAATTGTACGTGGAGAATTTTGAAGTTGAACTTTCAGAAAAATTAGGTTTTAATTTGGTACCAACAAAAATTTATGCTCATCTTTGATTTATAGCTTTAGTTGTTTACATGGTTGAATTTGTGATGAAAAATCAAGCAACTTTCATGTTTACATTTTTGAAAATGGTTGAGAAATGAAGAAGTTACAGATTTAACAATGGAGTTGTTGTTCTTGGCATGCGCAAGGAAGAAGATGAAGTCATTTCAAATATTCAGAAATGAGTCTATTTTAAATTTATTGCAACTTGGTTTACCACCGGATGTAACAGCCACCCCAGTGGTAAAGAAGCGTGCGCTAAGTCATTTGTATATAGGGACCTGGATTCGAGCCCCAGTGGTACCCTTTTAATTTTCACATATTTGTTTCTATGAGATCATGTGCAAGTAATATCCAGGAAGCGCACGTTACACCCTCTCATCACCACCACATGATCACCATGTAATCAAATCAAACACCCCAGAACAAATGACCATGATGCACTCTCAAAAGCTGGTCACACTTTATCATGCAGCGCCTGGGCTTTTCTGATTTGGGCTTGACATTTTTTCTATTTTCTCACCCCCATTTTACTTTTCAGCGCAAGCTCATTTCTTTGTTTATTTATTTCTTATTCAAACAAAAAAAGGCTCATTTGGGCCCAACGTTTTATTTTTCTTTTCAACCCTCATTTTACTTTTACAACACTGACTCAATTAATTTTCTTTTTTTATTTTATTTTAATTATTTTATTTTAATCATTTCTTTTTTTATCAAAACAATAAAAATCATTTAAAAAAATTAGACTTAGTCTTTTTAAACCAATTAATTTAATTTTTGACAAATAAAAATTATTTTTACCATCTTGATTTTGTTAAAATTAGGTTTTCTATACTTCTTTTATTTTTATAAAACAAATACAAAATATTTTCTAAAATATTTATATTACTTTAGGTCTTAGTTAATTAATCTAATTTTCATAGATATAAATAGACTAATTTTATTGCACCTTATTTTATTGTGTATAATTAAATTGTAAATAGAATTAGGTCTAACTTTTACCCCCACATTGTAAATATTTTCTAAGCAAAGAAACAACAAATTATTTTCTCAAACACTTAGAACTTTTTAGGGTTTCTTAAAAACATCTTTCTATCTCCACGCGTTTGTTTATTTCTCGCATCATTATAGTCATGTAATTGTTTATGGATTGTAATAGATAGTTAGGGCTTTATTGCTTTCCTCCCCTCATTCACAAACTTGTACCCCTATTCCCAAAGCGCTGTAATAGCGTAGGATATTTAAATTTCTCAATTTACCGCTTTCATTATTATTGTTAGTAATTAGGATTTGTATGACAAGATTTAAAATCAAACATTATAAAATCCTAATTCAAGATAAAATAATTGAATCAAACACACTTTGCACACATGCACCTCTAGGGTAAACCTCACTTGTTGCCTCAAATATAAACAGTCGTGTCCCTCGAACGTGGGATGTTTTAGCAAAGTCCCTCGATTAAAATATCGTAGTCCCTCGATGACCCTTTGATGTTGCCTTCGATAAACGATCTTTAGTCCCTTACGATAATTGCTAAAGCATCCTACAAAGTTGCCTTCTATGATTGTACGATGACTCACGCCTGTCCCTCACATCCAATGATAGGGCTCCTTACTAACTAATAGTAGGTAAACACTATCTAAAGGAGGAGGAAAAGAACAAAGACTTTTTGAGTAGGTAGATTGCTCGTAATTGCTTGCTCACAAAACCATATTTACACCTCACACTTTCAAAATAACTATTTTCAAAATAATTTTCGAAAACAAACATTTTGTATACATTCTCAACGATATGAGAATCATTACAAAATTACCTTACATTGGCACTTTCAAACATCTTTCCAAACACTCCAAATATTTTCAAAATAAACATTTTGTATACATTCTCAACGATACTAGAATCATTGCAAAATTACCGCACTTAGACATTTTCAAAATATTTGCAAACATACATAAACACAAAGCATTTTTTTTAAAGTGAGCTAGCAATTAAGAGCTCGTAGATAACTACGGATGAAAAGGGTGCTAACACCTTTCCTTTTCATAACCTACCCCCCTCCCCCCCCCCCCCCCCCCCCCCCCCCCCCCCACCCACCCACCCCCCGAAGTCAAGAAAATTCTCAAAGGTCTTTCTTGTTCTTTTCACCCTTTCCTTTATTGGATAAAAGAAAAGTCGGTGGTGACTCTTACTATCCATAACATTTGCGATAAAAATACAAAAACACCAAGTCAGTTCTCCCACCGTATTACACACACTAATATTGGATTACTTTTACATACGCCTAACTCGCAGGGTACAGCTGCAACGGAGCAACAATCAAATGATTCAGAGCTTCTATTTTGAAGCCATTGAGGGGCATTCAAAAACCCTGGATCGAGAAAAAACACTCGTAGAAAGGGATGGCACAATCACCATACTCACTACAGATTCTCTCATTTTCACCAAGGGTCAAGACACCTTAATCCGAAGATGGACCAACATCTTAAAATGATCCATCAAGACTACCCTCTCGAACAAAGACAAAAATAGTTGAATAAGTAACAAAGTGGCCCAAGAAGCACATGTATCTTCTTTTGATTTTTGACTAATTGTAAACATTACTTTCTTCTACAAGAAGGGAACCGTTGTAGAAAGTATAGATGACAACGAAGTTGAAAGAATGTATCAAAGAAACGTAAAAGTGACTCCTCGAGAATCATATGATGATTTACTAAAGGAAGTAAACATTATCAACGCTTCAGATCACCTTTGTGAAACACTTAAGTGTTTCAGTTCCCGAAGGTCATTATGAGGGTGCCTATGAAAAGACATTTGAAGCATGGAGCGCATTAAAAGCATGAATTCCCAAGAATCAGTAATGTCTTCTCTTGGTTTTTCAAGAAAGCTAAAAAAAGTGATCGACAGATGAGGCAGATTCTACAGACCATTGCAATGTCATACAGAGATAAGGGCTTGGGGACAATTGTTTCGGACCGACCGGATTGACCATCGGTCGACCGCTCGTAAGGACTTACCATTTGTCTGGATTGCTCGTAGTACATGAGGATTACCCTAAGGCTGAGTATAGACAATACAAATCTAAGATACATTCAACGGCTAGAGGATTGTTATAACCCTCTCGCTATATAGAGGATACACACAAAGAATTCAGGTACACAATTTTAAATCTGAATTACATTCACTATTCTCCTTCACTTAGTGACATGAGCGTCAGAGTGCTAACCTTGTAAGTTAACTCCTCCTTTTTTGCATCGCTCCTCCTTTTTCACATCTAAAGTTCAGACCCACCATTGTTGACCGTAATCACCAATTATCCAACCAATTCATGATACAAACAAAATTTCCAAAAAAAAAACAATTTCAAAAACCTAGGCAAACTTAACTGCTACAGATTTCAATATAAAATCAACATGATCACTCTAGGCGTGAGGTCAACTTATTTGGAAGCCATGAGTTATTTTTACTTGAGTCATACTCATATTTAGACTTCTCTTTTTTTACATTTGCAAGTTGCAACTCCATTGAAACAATTATATCCATTATCGTCAGTCTAATTAAAAGATATTACATAACATACATTAATATAATAACTTACAAATTAAAAAAAGATTATAATTTTAATATATTATTATATTTAAAATATTTAATTAAATAAATATTTTTTACAACAAATTTAATGTGTCATTTTTTGACTCGATACGATTTTTCAATTCAGGTGTTGCTGCTGACATTAAATTTAATATAAAATAAAACGGTTCAAGTCTACTAAATATGGAACTTCTTTTAGTATACTTTTTACCTTTTAGTATACTTTTGGATGATACCTGCACTTGCTAAAAGTACCATATGTAAAAAGTGGATTTGTGAAGAAATAAACAACCATATGCTTAACTAAAACTTAAGATTATAAATATTTCAGAGTTATCAACAACTTTTCTTCATATAATAATCATATCACTAATAAGATTCTTTCTAATTTTCTTCTAAACTTCATAAAAAATTATCTGACTTGCACTAGACTAATCAGCTTCAATCCCTCATTGCTTAGGTTTTCACTTTAATTCCTAATCTGCTGAAGTTTAATATCCCTTACTTGGGTAACTTGGCCCACATGAAGCCTCAAGCTTTCTTTTGTTTTGCCAATTTCCATTGCCTCATTAAATGGGCAACACCCTCTTTCAACAAAGCCTTCCTTCCTTCCTTAAAATTCCAGAGTTCCGGTACTGGATATCTGCCACTAGGATTGTATTCGTTTAATTCCTTCAGAGCTGTAGCTACTGCATCATGCACCTCGTTTCCCAGATCATCCCTCAAACTTTTCAGCTTTTCATCATTTTCATCTAAAATTTCCTGCATAATATATCAAACATATATTAGATCATGTTCTATGCAATTTGCATCATGAAAAGAAACGTGCCAAATAAGTGCCAACAACTAATATGCAACCAGTAATTTTCTTTAAATAGATATATCTCTAAGCAATACCGCAATATCGTGGATAACAGAAAATTAAGGATTGTTAAATTACACTGTGCAATAGTGTTGTAGCACCACTACAGAAGCTATTTGACAAACATTTTGTACTAAAGTAGAGATCCTGGAACAGCGACAGTCTGTCCAAATTCTGCTACATTATAGCAGAGTATAGCGCTGCTATGGCTGCAATTTCAAACCATTGACTAACAGCATGCATATCACGCTTTGTACTGATCCATCAGTGTAATCTTGTAGAATGAAATGAATCGGTTTTGAGTAGCAACTAACTCTCACAAGGTTTTGGAATTTCAACACTTTGTAATCATTAACAAATTAAGAAATGATGCATTATATTTTAAGGGAATAAATATGTCCAAAGGAATGTCTTTGATACAAGGGTTGAAGTCACGTTTGAGTTGTAGAATCATCCTAAAAATTGAGAGAAAGAAAAGATTAACTTTAACTTGAACAAACATAATTCTAGATGTCATTATACCTTGGAATTCCCTTCTTTATTAGTTACAATTTCGAACGGATGCCAGCTTGGATCTTTAAGATATTCCTCGCACTGTGAGTACCACTGAAGTGCTTTCATTCTCCTTTCTTCAGCAATTTTTCTCTGAGCTGCTTTCCCATTCCCTTCAGCAGGTAACTTTCTCTTGGATGCCTCCACAAACGGCATAATATCAAGGTCCCCCATCCTTTTCACAGAAATTATGACTCGAGAAGTGCTCCTTGGGCAGCCAATCCACTTCGAACAAGGAAATCAGATGACATGAATAAAACAAACAATGAAATCGGGGCATTATAGCAACAGCGCCAAACAGTATGAAACAATATGACAAATTAGCTAAAAGTGTAAAACAAAATTCGGTTCTTTCATAGACCTGATCTGATTCTACTAATTTCTACCTAAAATGCGAAACAGTATGAATTAAAACCATCAACTTTGGACACAAACAAGAAACAAGGAACCACTTGATTCACAAAATAGGACACTACGATGAAAAATTGCAATTCCTTGGATACAGAAACTAAGGTTAAAACACCAAACATTTTGTATTGGCCATTGTTAGTTCATGTGAACAAGACATTGGCTTCCAAGCAACCTAAATAAGACTTCAACTACATGACTTGAATGTTTACAAAACAGGAAACTCTTAACTACATGACTTGAATGTTTACAAAACAGCTGTATGTCAATTAAAAAATATAATTGACCCAACATTTCTTTTTAAGTTTTACAAGGTCATTCATACAAATAAAACAATCTATCATGGTTTTGTAAATTGTATTAGATTAATTGCAAAAGACATTGATTATAGAGTTGATTTTCAGACCATTAGTTAGGTTGTTGCCCTAAAGACATTAAAATCATAATGCTAACATTTATAGGCTGAGAAAGAAACATACACTGATTAATTTTTTGCGTGCATCTTGTAACTCGTCATTAGTTTTGCGCTCCTGAATAACCAATGTTTGTTGAAGATCTTCCACCCCTTCCAGTTCCTCTTCCTTTTCACGCAGATCATTTTTTATCGCCTCCAGTTTTTTCTTCTCTTCAAGATCAGTCTCTCCAATGCGATTCATTACATGGAAAGCTCCTCTCAGCCGTTCAATTTCCAACTCCAATGCTTGCTTTGCATCAAGTCCTCTCTCTAGGTCATGAATTTTCTTGTAAAGTTTCTCTTTCTCTTTCTGCAACATCCAACCAAAAGAGTCCTCAAAACTACAGTGGATACATGTAATTTAAATAAATAATGCAAATAAAAGAAAAATGAAATTTGTGCCTGATGTTCTTCAGCCAAACACATCATTTTGTTATCAGCCTTTTGTTGCTCTGCTATGGCCATCTCGTTCTGTAAACAACAAGATGAAGAACAGATTTAATCAGTCCAAAGTTGTTAAAATAAGAAGGATTGGTGTACGTGATTTGACTAAATGATCCATATATTAGGAATGTTAGCCAAACTTTTTGTGATTGGTCCATTTTTTAAAGAGGTCAATTTATTTCTCTTGTAAATTGATCGCTTTCAAAGAAATGTGTTAAAATATTAAGAAATAGACATATCAGAAAAGTGTGCTACAGAGTGTTTAAAAGAGAGAATTGTCAGCATTGCTACCATAATTTAAAGATCCAAAAAAAACTCACATTTTTCTTCTCAAGATATAGCTTATTTCTCTCATTATGATTATCTTCTTGACGCTTCTGCAGATTCTTTTCCCGAGACACAAGTTCATTCCTCCGTGCCTCCAATTCCAGCATGGCTTTTTCATGATCATTGGACACACTTTCCAGATAACTGCGTTCGGCATTCCGCATATTGCTTATTTCTAATGAAACAGAGTGAAACAAACTCAGCTACCATGAAATATTGAAAAATCATATTAATATCCAAAATAAATTAGACAATAAGCTATACTGAAAGGATAAATATAATAACAAAAATCAGAATGCTTCATTCCTAAACATAGTGAAATAGAATAATGATATTAATTCGAACAATCCACTTTAAGTATCAACATACCTTTGTTAAAAAGTTCAATCATCTCCTCTTTTTGACCCATCACTCTTTTTAGGAACACATTAGCCTCGTCATACTTGCTTGCCGTTTGTTCCAATTCCTTGTTCTTCTGCTTTAAAGTGTTAGCCAAACCAGATACAAGTTTCAAGGCTTTCCTATTATCCTCAGCTTCTTTTCCAGAAACAGTTTTCAAATCCCCATTTTCCCGAAGGTGATTGCCAACAATATTCCTGAAATTATAGTCATCACAACGTGCCATCCACCCAAAGAGTTTATCTCCTCGCTCCGTTAAGCCCAAGTAATCTCTCTTACCACAATGTTCTGCTTCAAAACTTCTTTCTAGCATCAAAGCGCTGCTGAAAGCATCCCATTCTTTTCCAAATTCAACGATCACAAACTGTGTCTGCCCACTCTTATTCCACAGTGTAGTAACATCCAGCGGCTGAAACCCTTTCTCGAACAGTTCCTCCTTAATTTTCTTATTACTCTTTCCTATATACTTACGAGAGTTCGGGTCAAATTTTGTAACAATGTTAGCCAAAACTACCATCCAAGGCCAGACAAACAACTCGTCTTCACCAGTATTCACAATGGGTGACTTATCCTTAGCAATAAGTGACCGATCCTTAACAGCACTCGCATTAACTGACTGAGCCTTATCAATTCTCACATTAAGAGACTTATCATCAGCAACATCCACTCTAGCTGACTTATCTTTAGCAACATTCATATCGCGCGACTTATTTTCAGAAATTTTAGAGTCAAGATACCTCTGAAGAGCAGAGTGTTTAGCAATTTCTTTCACAGTCTCATCATGCATGTCATCAGCAATCCTTATAGCATGTCTCAAAAGGTCAGTCAAAGAGTAATAATCCTTGTTGAAACAGAACGGACACCTAAATGTCGAGTCGGAGACTTCAAGCTTATAATAATCATCTTTCAAGTTGTTGTAATATCTGCGCTCGTAGTATTCCAAATCAGACTCACGAGTTCGGTCAGATTTCCGGTACATCTGAAAACGATAACAGTAAAATCAAGTTCAAAAAAAAGAGCAACACAAAAATAACTAGAAACAGTAACTAAAACCTAGATGATTAAGCTCAATCGAAGTGATAATAAAAAGGAAAACGCCATGCAATAATGAAGAAGATTTAAGAATAAATAAATACACAATACAGAGAAGAAACTGAGTGTTACCTTGTGGTGGAAGAATGCTTTTCAGAGTTGATCAAATGCGAAAACCAGAGAAGATTGAGCGAATGTGTGTATCAGGATGAACGAGAAAGAAAGTAGAAGAAGAAGAGAAAGAAGAGAGAAACCCTAAGAAATTTTTCCGGAAATGAAAAATGAGTGTGAAATGCAAAAAAAAAAAAAATATGTTCTGGGTAATAAGGAATAAACACTCACTAAACCCCGCTAAAGGATGAAACGGTGTCGGATTGGTTGATACAAAAATGAAAAAATAAATAAAAAAAGAGAGAAAGTGCTGTTGGTAATTGTCTGTATGAAATGAAGGAGTTTGTTGTGAGAAATCCGCAAAAAAACAAGAGCTTCTGTGTTGTTTCGACTTTCAAACGTTCATAAATATTTCCGCACTAATTTTGTACAAATAAATTTTTTCCTGTTATTACGGTGATGTATTCTCTAATTAAAATAAGACACGTGGCAATTCAAAATGCCAAGACTTTATTTTCTTTTCTTCGTTCTTTTTTTTCTCTTAAATATTTTTTCTTGAAATGACATTTTCAACATAATTCTTTATTCTCGTTTATTTAGCATTTAATATGATTTTTACTTTAATTTTCAAAAACAACTTAAACAACATTAATTTTTAAAATTAAAAGGAAATTTTCAAAAACATGTAATAACAGGTTTTTAAGACTTCATTTAATCATTTCCAATTTCATATTCTTCAAAATCTTGGAATAACTAATCAATATAATTTTTGGTATTGAAACGATTCCATCTCTCGATGAATATGAGCTCTTACTGATTTGAAAATCCACAAATAAAATTTGTGAATCAATTTATATTTAGAGTACTATTTTGCAATTTTATCAAGACAACATTATTCATTAACATTCTTTTGATTGAAAGATACTATATATTATACATTAATATAAAAAATTAAATTAAAAAATGTCTGGTTAAAATAATACTAACATTTGTAAAATCATGAGTATCTATGTTTATTGATCGGCAGGAGTAGAAATAGGTAAGATCGATAACAAGGGTCAACAGTCTAATTTATATAGATTCAGGTTATGGTCTAATCTACATAGGTTCAGGCTAGACCTAGATTTTTTTTATAAGTCTATTTAGTTAAAAAAGACTAGGCATCGGATTATGAAAAAAGTGTTTTAGGCCTAACAGACTGGCTTATATAAATAAATATGAATAATTTTTTTATTATCATCATACTATGTTTTATACTTTGAATCAAAATATATAAATAAAACTTAGTTATTTTGGAGAACTTATGAAAATAAAATGAAAACATCTTATGAACAATGTTATAAGTTGTTTTCACAAGTCCTCTTAAATAAATAATCTCATAAAATTTATGGTAATTGGTAAGTTAAAATAAATCAATGCAAATAAACGTTTAGTTTCATTGGTTTTTTAGTTTGTTAGTTTATTTAAACATGATTCAAATTGCTTATTTACATATGTCTAAAATAATAGGCTTTTATGTAGGCTAACAGACTAATTAGACCTTAGAAAAGGTCAGGCTCGGGCCTAAAAATAAGCCTATGACAAACTTGTAAGTGTTTGTTGGCAGCAATTTTGGTAAAAACAATGCTTTGATAATGTTTTGCTAAATGTCTTGACATTTGGAGCAAACTGTTTTGAATGATGTCAAAGCAGATGTCTTGACATCTGCCTCTTGAGCTGAACGTAACTCACATCAGTTTAAGTTTTCTGTTTCCTATTTTCATGCGTGTCATAATTCAGGATTTGTGACTCATAGGCTGCGAAAAATATGGAGGAATATTTTTCTATTTAAATTATCCTTATGGATTATATTTTGGCTTGTTTTCATGGAAATATTCAAAAGATTAGAATATTTGTTTTTCAGCCCAAGCCCACGGTTGCGCCTTTACAAGGACTTGCTTCCTTATTCATACAACTGCAACTTTTGAAAAAGAATACTTTCTTTCTGTTTTAGAAGTTTAAGCCTTTTTAATTGTCATACACTCTAGTATTAATTTAATACTTGAGATGTTATTTGAGTTTTTAATTGTGGATCATTCATAAGCTTTTAAGCATTGAATGATTGAAGTCTTTAAAACTAGTTATTTCAGTTGTTCTTCACTGTAAGTGATTGAAGGGATTTGAGCAGAGCCTCATACCTAGGTGTGTCTTAGATAGAAGTATAGCACATATAGTGATTAAGTGATTAGATCGTAAACTGGTTATTTACTGAGGGTCTATGAATTGATACTATTTAGTAGACTTGTCTCTGGCTTGGTAGCCCCCAGAGTAGGTGTTGTTGTACACTGAACTGGGTTAATAATCCTTTGTGTTTTTACTGCTTTTATAATTGTTGCACTTTACATTGTCCTTAGATATTTGTGTCGTGACATCTCCTTCAACATCACATATCTGATACCAGAATTTCAATTGGTATCAGAGCAGGCATCCTGCTTTATATCTGGGTGAGATCCAAGAAAGATACTTTCTGGTACTATGGACAAGGAAGGAGGATTTGTAAATAGACCATCTATTCTGGATGGAAGTAATTATGACTATTGGAAACCACGTATGGTGGCCTTCTTATAGTCTCTGGATAGTAGAGCTTGGAAAGCTATTTTCAAAGGATGGAAAAATCCTGTCAAATTGGAATAAAATGAAGAACCTACTTCTGAGTTAAAACCAGAAGAAGATTGGTCTAAATAAGAATATGAAATTGCTCTTGGAAATTCTAAAGCCTTGAATGCTATATTCAATGAAATTGACAAGAACATTTTCAGATTAGTGAACACATGTGAAGTAGCTAAAGATGCATGGGGAATTCTTCAATCTACCCATGAAGGTACATCCAAAGTTAAGATGTCAAGACTTCAGTTGCTCATCACAAAATTTGAGAATTTAAGAATGAAGGATGATGAAAGTATTAATGACTTCCATATGAACATTCTTGAAATTGTTAATGTATCCAGTGCTTTAGGAGAGAAAATACCTGAAGATAAATTGGTGAGAAAGATGCTCAGGTCTCTTCCCAAGAGATTTGATATGAAAGTGATTGCTATAGAAGAAGCTCAAGACATTGACAAAATGAAAGTGGATGAACTTGTTGGGTCCCTTCTGACATTTGAATTAAGCATCAATAAAAGATCTGAAAAGAAGAACAAAAGCATAGCCTTTGTGTGATCGGTGGATCTGGAACTGACTGTTTAACGCTGGTTCGGGAAATGTCACGGAAGCAAGAGTCGCCACCGTCTTTTATTTTCTCCAAATGGAAAGGACAAAAGCACAGAAAAATTCCTTATTGAGATTAGTTCTCGGTTCGGGAGGTAGATTTATAGAAAGGGAAGGTGTTAGCACCCTTTCTATCCGTGGTTATCCACGGGCTCTTAGATACTTGCTCATTTGTGTTTTCAAAAGTGTTTGTTTGCTTTTCAAGTGTGGGTTTGAAAAAAGTTTCGTTTAAAATTTCAGTTCGACTCTTGTATCAGTCCTCAAGAGTGTTTGAAAAGTTGTTTTTGAAAGCTTTTTGCAAAGTGTCGGTGTGAAAAGAAGTTTTTGATTTGTTTTGAATTAGAGCAAGTATCTATGAGTCATCTACCTACCCTAAGGAATTAGTCTGTGTAAATGTCCTTAAGGTAATGCCATCCCACCATTGAGAGGTAGGTAGCACCACCGTTGGAGGTGTTCGGGTCAATTCGAGGATTAGGGACAGTGTGGTCACCAGAGCAATAGGAAGACACCTTAGAAGCTACCCTCATGCCATGTTCATGGACATGAGGACTTACTAAAACGTCCTCTACTCGACGACCACGTTTCGAGGGGCAAGGCAACAGTGAGACGTACCCTAGGGGTGGTGTGTGAATTGTGTGTCATTTTCAATTATGTTTATCTTGTTCATGCATTGGTGATCTACGCTTTTTATTTTTTGGGCATTCATTCTTTCATGTGGTTATTAACAGTTAAAAGGTGCGGAATTTAAAAGTCCTACGCTATTACAAAGGCGCGGGTCTACATCGCCAAATTAAACCAAGACCCGATTTAAAATAAATAAAGATGCGGAAAGTAAATATCCTAATTAATCTATTACAAGGCTTTGGGGCAATTACATGAAACTTAAAAAAGGAAATAAAAGTAAATGTGCGAAAAGAAATAAAATCGAGAATGCGAGGGCATTGAACCCTTTTAAAGAAATTAAATCGAAATCGTGAATTAATTAAATTAAATAACAGCAAGAACTTATTTTTTGGAGTTTTTGTATTTATGGAATTTAATGAGAAAGTTAATTATTATAGGAAACCCTAATTCTAATTGTTTTTAATTTATTAAAAAATGTTTAACTTGTAACCTAATTTAACCCTAATTATTTAAAAGGCATATTTATTTACAAAAATAATTAACATTTAATAATGGTAAAAAAGAAGAAAAAAAAGAATAAAAGTTTTAAAACCTTAATTTCTACATTTTTTAGTTTATTGAAAAAAACATTAAAATTAAACCTAAGATTAAAACTAAATTAGTTAACAAAATTTATTTACAAAATAAAACATTAGTGAATTAAATAATAAAATATATTTTTATTTTTTGACTTTGTGATTTTTTGTGTTTTTATATTATTAAAATTAATCTAAGGAATTAAATAAAACAAAGAATATAATTAAAATAAATAATAGAAAAGAATAAAAATAGAGAAAAGAAGGCAAACATGGGGGGTGGTTGTCCCTTTTGGAGGTATTGTCCAAGCAATTTTGGCCCACTGAATCAGGCCTGGTTGACTTTTGATGGTCACGTGTAGACCCCTGGACTGAGGTGCATGATGGAACTCATATCTTGGCTTTTGGATTGATCTCAGGGGGGCATGTGGCAAGCACCAGCGCTGGATGTTTGGTGGGCTATAGGAGAGTCAGTGTACCTGATCATGTTGCAAGAAAAAATATTAAGAGTATAGGGGACCTGGGAATCGAACTCAGGTCCCATTGATTGCATGACAACACATTAACCACTCAGCCAAGCGCGTTGGTTTTTATGTATACTGAACAATGACCAACATATATGAAAAAGCGTTAGTGGCTGTAATAATGAAAAAAAATGCGCCAAGCTTCAAATCAACCAACCACGTGCTTACAACTCATCTTCTTCTCCACTTCTTCGCTTTGGCCTGAAAAAAAACAGAATGGATAGCGGGGGTTTTAAACCCCCACTAAATGAAGAACATGAAAATAGCGATTAGACCATACGCAAACATAAAAAGAGCGCGACTAGTGGGATTGAATCGTCCAGATGCCCTGAGTTCAATAGTCTTGGTCTCGTTGCCTAATTTTTCCTTATGAGAGAAACCCCAATTTGACATCTTTGAAACCCTAACGAGCT